GAGCGTTTGCGGGATAAGAAAGGCTCTGCCAAGAAGATTAATTGGTCGGCAGCAAAGTGCATTGATAGATGACGAAACCAAGATAGCATGCCAGGCAGTCTCGACAACAGTAGACACCTTTTTGCATGTCTGCGAACAAATACGCGAAAAAATGCTCCCACTATTTGACAGCGTATTAGAAAACGAATGGCAACAAAGAACAAGTTTATATTAACTGTTAACCGAAAAAGAACTTAATATAACATATGTGTGAACCAAAAATAGGATGGTCAATGGGTTTAGTTCTTGCATTTCTTTCTTGGCTTACTTTGGACAATATCTGCCGTAACATCTCCGGAGAGTGAAAGCAAGGCCAATGGCTACAGAAAAAGTGGCATTACTTGTCCCTGCTTTAATTGTAGACTTGTACAACTCTAGATGGTGTCATCAGAAATCACGAGCGCGACTGAATTATGAGAAATCATTATTGAAACTATACGTATGCTTGCCAATTGCTCTTCGGATTATCAGAACTGCCAAACCCACAGACTAAACCATTTATTTTACTGAAACGAGAGCGGAATTATCTTCATCTTCCGAAATTTATGATAGGACCGCAAAAGAAACATTTAGCCTCCTCTATCCGCTTCTTTTTCAATAGTACAAGGGGCTTAACTTACGAAAAATAGGCCGGAGGCCGGGTATCGAACCTGAGCTGCAAATGCGTGTATGACAGGCTATCAACGTCTCTAACCTCTCGGTCTCACTGACACGAGCATTCGACAAAAAAAAATAAGTACACAAGCAGAAAATAATTGCAAACATGACTGCTCTGCAAATGGTTCAGCTTCACCAAACAGATAAAAGTCTATAGAAAAAAACTTGAGGTCCATATGACAATCTCTTTTCATTACTGTGACAATTTTTCGCTTGAAATCTGCCATCGTACGTTGGCACATGTCAGTTTTTTAGGGTCGGTCTATATCTGAGGCTTCTTGGTAGGACTTTCTCATCAAGACACTGATGCAGGAATTTCAGCTGAGCGTAGGTGGATGACTCTCGGCTGAGTGGAAGGACGTGTGGCAGATTTCAAGATAAAAATGGTCAGAGTAATGATAAGAGATAGCCACGATCGCATTCATAAGTACCGACAAATGACTTAACAAAACTCCTCAAGGTGTCGGTCGATCCTTACGGCACAAGGGCTGGGAATCCTCGAGGCTACGATCTTAGACACTGCACGGCGTCACCGCAAGTTACGCGATGACCAGTTGTCGGTTAATTTCGAGAAAATTAGCTCGCCGAAGCATCCCTCTTCTGATGGGGTTCTGGTGCACAACTTATCCTCCTATCCTCTCTTCACAACAACTGGCAGTTCTATTCTGTGACACAAAATTCAGCACGAGAGATGCTCGCCCAGAAGATTTTATTGCATCTTTCGAATCAGCGCTGCAGAAATGCGAGACAGGCGAGGAGTGTAAAAACGCCATGCGGCAACAAGTGACGACTTTGCTCCTTCAACACAAACGCCAAGTCACGATATCTAAAGCAGAAGAATGAGAACTTCTGAAAATACGAAAAATGAAGGATATCGTCACCCTGCTCGCTGACAAAGGACGCCCGACGGTCGTCATGGATAAGGTGGAGTGTGGAGCAAAAGTGAACAACCTCTTGATGGACAAGGAGTCCTGCGCACCATCGACTGCAAACGAGTTCAAAAAGCTCGTGAA